TCTTTGCAAACAGAAATACGAATGTCGTGTATTATGGTATATAAAATGCGATAATCATCCAAGCGATTACCGTCTCCCAAGCCCACTCAGTCCCCATGCAACCTTCGACTGCACGAAATCAAATCCGCCCAATATCCTCAGCACCAAATCGCGGATGGACGCCAAACTGACCGGCATCCACCAAGCATATGAATCGTACGGAAGGTTTCCGAGTTTCAAAAGCGTCTTGGTGAAGCCGATGACTTCTAGCGCTCGTGCATGACGCGCCTCTGCGAATTCCTGCAAGATGGTATCGTCCACATCGGGATTCTCTGCAGACGCTTGAATGTGCTTTGTGACAGCATCTGCAAGGAAGATCGCATCCCTGATGGCCAGGTTCATGCCTTGCCCGCCTATAGGTGAGTGTATATGGGCTGCGTCGCCGACTAGAAAAATGGCGGCTCCGAGACGTGAGAAGATACGGTCTGCAATGGCGGAATGGGTTCTGAAACCTGTCGACCAGACCAGCTGGTCGACTTTGACAGGTTTCGGGTTAAGGGACGGATCCGATGATATACACGCTGGCCCGTATGCGTCGACCACGTTCTGGATATACTCTTTTGGTGGAGCACGAGGAGGTTCTCCGTTCTTTATGGGTATGGAACAAAGTATACGAAAGGTGGATTTCGTAGTGAGCTTTCCATCTCGCAACAGCTGGGCATTGAAGTGATTGCCAAATGGTAAAAAAATGAATAAATTGCCCGAAAAGACTTCGGCGTTAAGGTGGCCCTCGAGGGTGACTGGACCGACAGGTTCGGGCTCGAATGTGATATCCGCAGAGATCATTTGAGCCAACTCTTCATTGACTGTGTGTGGGCCTTCTGGGTCAGAGAACCCTATACCAGCGATGGTACGGACCTGGAAATGGTCGTCAGATATTCCACTAAGCTAAATTGGGGGGCATTGAGGTCTCACAATCGAGCGGGCGCCATCTGCGCCGATAACGTATCTAGCGCTGATAACTTGACCGTCTTCAAAGGACACATCAGTGACGCGAGAGTCCATTTCATTCTGTTTCATTCCTACTACCCTGTGTGGACGCTGCACCTGCACACCAAGGCTCTGCAACTTCTGCATAAGTACAAGCTCGGTCACACATTGAGGGATGAAAAGCGCGTAAGGGTGGGCGGAATGTCTCTTTAGAGGGTCAAATTTGACCTCAAAGAGCTGCGAACTACGGGATAGGATTCTGATGCTCTTTCCCTTGATGCCTTGAGACAGTAACCCATCTGCGACATCGATGCTTGCTAAAGCCTAATATCACAAGAACATCAGTGGGCCTTCGTATGAATGCACGGGTAGCTTACCTCGATGGTTGCACAGTGTATGGCGACGGCTCTCGATGAATTGGATCCTTCGTCTACGGCATCCACGATAACGAAGTCATGGCACCCGTTATGAACGAGAGCAAGAGCAGCTGTGAGACCTGCGGGGCCTGCACCAACAATAAGCACGGTCGTGTTCTCGGGGAGAGACATTGTCTGCTTGGAGTATTTTGAGAATGAGAATCAGTACGAGTGAGACGATGGATGAGCTTCACGTGGCTCTTGCACCTGTTATTTGAGGCCACCGATACACAGGTTATCTTAGTGATCCGCAGTAGTGAAGGATGATTTGGTATCGCGCACGGACTGCAACGGCCATCAGTAAACCGATGCAGTCCTTGATATTGTAGCCGTGCGAATTGTAGAAGGGTAGGACAGTTTGCCCCTGCTAAATATACCATAAGAATCTGATTTGCAGCTACATCATGATAGCCCGGAGATCTAGAGTAAGATGAGCAGTGATAACGAGGTTATGATGTTCTGCCATTGCAGCTGACGAGGGTGGTAAGCCTACTTATGCCAAATATTTTGGCGATTGTTATTTTGCCTTACTTACTAGTACGCTTTACTACAACTTCATCCATGACATTCTCGCGGGAGGTACCTTTAGCACTTGTCAACCAATGTAAGTAACAATGTCCTGACATGTGGCCGTGAAGAAGGGACGACAGCGCACACCCTGTTTCATGATTCTCGTTTTCCGTCGTCTATGCATCGGATCAAACTACTATTTCACATCCCCATCGTAACTTTGTAAGAGCCTTTTGCGCTTATCAACTAATCTAGAATAGCACTACAATTCGTAACAAAATCGCGACCTGTCACCATGGCATACTGGTATGTATTGTACTCTCGGCAGTGTTGATTGTTATTTTCCTCCTCTTGCCAGGTCAGCGGCATCATGATGCACTTGAGACAATGACTCGTCACTCATCAATGTCGGTCCCAGAGTTGTCCACTGTCCTCAAGGTCAGATCTGACAACAACTACTGGGCTGTGTCGAATCTAAAACACTGGTATGCTCGATTCATGCCACACTACTACTACACAGTGCATGCGACACCGTACTGAAAGGACAGTCCGATACGAGTCGTCCCAAGGGCACATCTGACATCAAGAGAATGGTCACTGGGCTCAATTGCAAGGCGCACACTGGCAGATTGGTCCACGTTAGTTCAAGTTGCAGTAAATACTGGTTCGTGGTTTGATTATATTGTTAGGAGTGCCCCAAGTCATTTTGGCCAACTCAGCTTGTCGGCCATTTCAGTTTCCACACACAGTATCTTCTTGTCCAAATTGTAGGTATTCGCATCATACTAGTTCATTCGGTTGAGACTCTATTTGCAGAATTGTGCTCGTTTAGTACGTCGAAGAATATAAAATCTAGGAGCCTGCATGAGCTTGAGCCAAACACTCGCCTCGATATCACATACCTATGTTTAATGTCTCACAGAGATCATCGTCCCCAAACCTCCTCACCAAGTCCGAACTAAGGCAATCTAGATTTCAAGTTCCGATTCAACTGTGTTGATCCATGCCATTTCTCACGCGACTACTTATCTTTTGACCTCATATCAAGGAACATGTTACACATATCATTAGGCGCAGCTTACTGCGACAGTTGGCTTGGCCATGATTTTGTTCTAGCGCACATTAATGGCGAGGCATCTCAGACTTACATGCAGTATCTCCCCGCGGCCCATAGTCTCCTAAGGTGAACTTGAAGTCTAGACAATGCTTGGTCCAGGTCATCCAGACATGCCCTATCACTGTGCGACGCTTCTGATTGATCCTGTACCACTGTCAATGATGCTACTTTGATATCTCATGACGTTTTTTTCTCATTTGTTACTTCCTTGTAGCACCTGCGATTTGCCTAGGCCAGTGACCCTGCCAGTGCGCATGGGGCATAATGAAGTATCTTTCGTGATTCGATACTCATACTCATTCTTAACACGCGCTTGGTTAAAGATCCCTGGTACTTGTCGTGGTCCAGCATCCGCAGCTCCCTCTGAAGTTTTAGACGATCACAACGATATCAAGTTAGTCCATGGCACACCCCGATGATTCTCTACTTCCTCGGAGACAAAGAATGGCGTTGAAAAAATCAGTGACCATCAGCCAACGCTCCTCTTCCTCATCAACTGTCCCTTATACCCCATCCAACACCCGCTCTGTAACGAGAACCACTCTAGAGCTCCTATGCTACCCTTCGATATCAAGTGCCGCGCAATCATTGATATTAGTCTTTTTCATCTTTACCTCTGTCGCAGCCTTTTCATCATCACGCGCACTCCTGTATGACATTGAGTTTCAACGTCTGTCATGAATCATGATCGGCAACGAAGTGACATCACATTGGCTTTATCAGAGAGAGATTCATGAGCTAGCCTTCAAGGCTAACGTCAGACGAACAGATTCAAGCTGCTTGGTACGTTCCATGTGCATGTTCGTATATATTCCTAATATTATTATCGACAGCAATGATTGCTCGTTTCGACAGGCTCTCGAACTCCAACTGATTGGACCACGAGCAAGACTAGGCACAGTCGATCATTTTTAGATAAGTTCAAACATTCCACATGGCTGGAACAGGACGAAAATTTGTCCAAACACAACTATACTGATTGGCTTCGACCTAGGTATTGCACTATCAACCATGATACCAAAGCATAAGGAGAGATGATGTATTGTCACAACATGCCACTCAAGGTGCAGACTCAGGAAGGGGTGTGTATGAGTTAATTGGTGGTGGTACGTAGCACGGGACACGACACAGGTTGCAAATGATCAAGCACTGCAGGCAAAAACCAGAATATCATTTGGATTTTCGTTGTGTCACAAGTTAGATGTGCAGGAGATAGATACACATGAGCGGTTTAGACAGGCCGTACATAGAAGATCATTCATTTTCTCTATATGCCATGGACAAGACCAATTCCGGAAACCATGTCTGTCCACATCCTCTGCAGCTACCAAGGCTCTTCATTTGAGCCATACATCCTAGGATGTCCCCCTCTTCATCTTGATCGCTGTCCTACTCAATCTCCTCGATACCGCTGTCGGCTGCATGCAATCAGTACAAAGACATGCTGTGAAATTGCTTAGAGTGAAGCCACGCACTGTCTATTAGTGTAACGAAAGAGTTAGATTCATTATGTATCACAAAAGACAAGATTGCATACCATGTGAGGACGCTACATGATCTAGTCCGTGGTACTTGGCCGGGGTGTCCATATCCTCTGCAGCTACCAAGGCCCTTCATCTGAGCCATCTATTCCATCCCCTTGATCACTGTCATACTCAATCTCCTCGATGCCGCTGTATGCTGCATGCAATCAGTACAAAGACATGCTATGAAATTGCTTAATGTAGAGGCACGCACTGTCTATTAGTGTAATGAAAGAGTTAGTATTCATGATGTATCACAAAAGACAAGATCACATACCATGTGAGGACGCTACATGATCTAGTCCGTGGTACTTGGCCGGGGTCTCACGAACACGGCGTAAAAATTCATCCTGGTCGTGTGAGGGTCAACGAGCGGTAACAAGTTCAGCAGAGGAAATCACGCACTTCCTGAGAGGGAACATGGCCGTGGCACGATCAGTGTCGCCTGAGAAGGTCGAAAGACCAGATCACGCACTTCCTGAGAGCGGAACATGGCCGTGGCACCGTCAGCGTCGCCTAAGAAGATCGAAAGACCACATCACGCACAGACTGAGAGCAGGACATGGCCGTGGCACGATCAGCGTTGCCCAAGAAGGTCGAAACACCAGATCACGCACAGACTGAGAGCGGGACATGGCCGTGGCACGATCAGCGTTGCCCAAGAAGGTCGAAACACCAGATCACGCACAGACTGAGAGCGGGACATGGCCGTGGCACGGTAAGCGTTGCCTAAGAAGGTCAAAAGACCAGATCACGCACCAACTGAGAGCGGGACATGTCCGTGGCACGGTCAGTGTCGCCTAAGAAGGTCGAAAGACCAGATCACGCACAGACTGAGAGCGGGAGGTACATCGTGATCTCAGCTCAAGATTGCTAGCGAAGTGCCAGGATGACATACAATTTGCTGGACATGAAAGTTGCGAACAAGAAGCGTTTCTGCGTCAGTCTTGTGGTTGGAGTCACTGTGAGGGGATCGTTTTCTCGGGTTCGTCAAGCTACGGGTGATCTGGAAGCATCGTTTACATTCTCGACTTCTCATCGTTAGGCATCATCAGGACCTAGAAAACAAACATACTCACCATTCAGTCGAGCAAACAGTCCGCCCTCGAGACTCATATTTCACAGATCTGGCACCAAGGCGATTCACAGCGCCGCAGAAATGACATCGATAGTCGACTCCAGATAGTGATGACGTCTCCTGTTGAATGGTAACCCTCATCACAATCTTCGTGCCTGGTTCAATGCTCGACCATTTGTGGCTTGTAAGTGGGGTCACTTTCTTGCCCTCGTCGATGCACAAATCGTACTTTTCTTCTTCTATATATCGTCTTTGAATTTGGGCTTCGACCGCATCGCGTTCAAACAGAACTCGGAGCATGCAATTGAGTTGCTGAAGACAATTTGACGAGTAAGCTTCCACAAGAACGATTTTTAGGCCAGCGAGCGGACCTGATATGAGGTGCACCAGTTCACTGATATTGCTTGGCGGCGGCCTGTTGCGTCTACTAGTGTCACGCAGCCAGGCGCGATGCTTCCGGATAAAGGCGATACAGATAGTGGTGCGAAGGACTGTTCGATGTTCTGAAGATCCTCCTCCCGCCTCCGTGAAATTATAAGCAGTTCGCGTGTTTCCCGTTGACTTTGCATTTGGGACGACCACTGACCATAGAGTAGTGAGCAAATGCAAGCATCTCTAGGGGGTAGAACACAACCAAACACTCCATCAGATAACGGTCGATGTCAGTCGAGCATCCGGTGATAGCCTGTGTGACAGATGTGTATGCTAGGCGACGTTTTCGCAACTTTTTCAGGCGGACTGAGGTGTCTTCCAGCTTTCTGAGTGCGATTCAGTGTCGAGTAAATTAAATCACACATTCATGATAGATTTACCTAACTAAAAGGTCTCTCCGAGAATGTTCAAGAGGATCCAGGGCAGGTGGGGCGTTGCACAAATGGCAGTATAGTCGATAGAGACGCGATGTTAGGTCATCCAAGGCCGCCTTGTTTCTATTGAATGTCTGTGATAGCCGTTCAAATCCAGAAATATATCAGCATTCGATAATCATTCACATCTATAACTTGAAAGATTCCCAACAATCCGCCAATAGCTGCGTGCATCGGAGTACCAGCAACTGGAATTACACCCGTAAAAGCCTGTACCAAGGGCAAAGCTACGTGAGCGATGTCAGAAGCTTCGTGGGCAGGGGATGCACCCCAAGGGTACGGTGTGGAAGGAGAGCCGGGGAAAAGTTCTTCGAGACCTGGTTCACTGCCTGCAGTAACGGGATGCATTGACGAAGAATTTGAAGAGAGCATTGGTGCAGGAAGTGTGGAGGAACGATACACGCGGGAGGTTTTACGACACGCTAGAACAAAGGTACGAGTCTCAGTATTCGTTTCGAATCTCTATTAACAATTGTTTGTACCTAGAACAAAGGTACGACTAGATGTACGTCAGCGCTTGCGCTCGAACGTTACAGTGGGACTTGTACTTACGTCTCAGTATTCGTTTCGAATCTGAGACGTTTCGACGAAAACAGCGTCCTCTTATACGGTGAGTCTGCCAGCAATAGCTTTGATGAAAAATATATACTTAAAGAACGAAAAGATTGCCGACGTTGACACGTCGTCGACGTTCTCCGTTTGGAGACGCTCGCACTCGATGTGCTCTATTCTTCGGCCGTATCGTCCTTTCCTTTCTCAGCTCTCTCTCTCTCGGCCTTACTTCCCTCGGACACATCGGCTCTCAACACTCCCCCTCGAGCGTTATCCAAACACATCAATGTCCTCAACCTCTGGAGTCGGGGACGTGCCAATGGCTTCGTGAACGCGTCCGCGACATTGTCGTCACTGGGGCAGTAGATTATCTTGAAGGTACCGTCCTTCACGTGGCCGCGTACGAAGTGGTATCGCAGGTCTATGTGCTTGGTGCGCGATTGGAATTTTCCCGTCGAGACTAACGCTATAGCAGCTTGGTTGTCGCAGAAGATGGGTGTGGGGAGGTCTTGGACGTCGTAGAGCTCGCGGATGAGGAGTTGCAGGTAAAGTACTTCCCTTGCCACGCTGGTCAACGCTATGTACTCAGCTTCAGCTGTTGACAGGGCTATGATAGGCTGTTTGCGCGCGCTCCACGAAACGGGGCCTCCATGGAGCAGTACGATGTACCCGCTCATGGAGTGCCTATGTGGCTGCGATGCCCAATCGGCATCGACAAACGCCTCAATTCCTCCCTCGCTGGATCCCAACGTCAGCTCATAGTCTGCGGTGCCTTTCAGGTACCGCAGGGCGCGTTTGGTGGCCTCCCAATGGGGTCTCCCCGGATTCCTCATAAATTGCGACAGTGTTGCCACCGCAAAAGCGATATCTGGCCGGGTACTCGTAGCTGCGTACATTAACGAACCGATCGCGCGTTGATATGGTATGTCTCGCATAGCTTGGAGTTCGGCGTGTGTTGCAGGGGACTGATCTATGGAAAGGACAGTACCTGGTTCCATGGGCGTGTGCAGGACCTTCGCGTCCTCCAGGTGGAACCTTTCGAGGATCGTCTCGACGTATGCCTTCTGTGAAAGTGTCAAGGTGCGTGCTACGCGGTCCCTCGTCACCTTCAGCCCCAATAACCAGCTCAACTCCCCTAGGTCGCTAATCTCGAAGTGCGCGCGCAGCTCGGACTTAAACCGATGGATATGGGATATATGGTTGGCGGTGACGGCCATGTCGTCGACAGAGACGGTGATGACGACGTGTTCGCGCGAGGTGCGTTTGTAGAAAACGGCTTGATCTACTTTTGACCTGCTGAAGCCCATTTCATTGAAGGCTCCAGCTAGCTCCTGCGCCCACTCATATCCTGCTTGTTTGAGTCCAGGTAAGCTTCTTTTCAGCTTCAGTACCTTCCCTTCCTGACCATCCTTCAAGTATCCAGGGGGCGCTCGCATATATATGTCCTCCTGCAGACTCGCATATAGGTACGCACTTTTAATATCGACTTGGTGTATTTCCCAGTCGTGCTGAGCAGCCATCGTTAGGACTGCACGTATTGTGCTCATATTGGCCGTGGGGGCGAAGGTTTCGAAGAAATCGACCCCGTACTTCTGGCGCTGCCCATTTGCAACTAGGCGCGCGCGAAGCTTCAGCTTCTCGCCGTCCGGCCCGCGCTTTGTGGCCAGGACGTAATGGCATGGGATAAGGTTTACGCCTCGAGGTGCATCTACGATTTCCCACGTACCTAACTTCTCGAGTTGACTGACTTCGTAATTGATGGCTTCTTGCCACTCTGCAGCGTCTGGGCCCTTCAAGGCTTGTTGGAGGGTCGGTTCTGGTTGGACGGCGGCCAATGCTAGGTGAATATGCGCCTCTTCATCCAAGAGGTCGAGTTCTGACGCTTCCAACAGGCTTTCCATGGTTAGGGCTGCCGTTTGGCCCTCATTCAGCGCCGCATAGTACCCTGGGGGTGGTCTTACCCTCGTCGACCTCGCTTCAGGAGTAGATGGTTGAGGTTGCTGGGCAGTAGACGGTTGAGGTTGCTGAGGAGTAGAAGGTTGAGGTTGCTGAGGAGTAGATGGTTGGGGTTGCTTAGGAGTAGAAGGTTGAGGTTGCTGTGGCATGGTGATGGGCTGGACGCTACTAGGTGAGTTATTATTACCGTTGCCGCTGTTATGTTCGTTGACTACAGCAGACTCCCCCTCGTCCGGCATACCATCGGCTGCCAGGATCGGCGTGAAGGTCACATTCCTCTCCACCGAGACACGCCGTCTGCCGGGCCAATACACCCGGTATCCTTTACTTTCAGCGTCTACCCCCACAAAAACTGCCTCCTCCGCCCTCGCCTCCAGCTTACCAGCCTCCAGCATATGGACGAAGACCCTGGCCCCAAATTCATGGGCCTGCGACAAGTCCGGCTTGGACTTGCGCACCAACTCGTAGGGCGTGCTACCTGGGATCGCCCTTGAAGGTAGGCGATTCTTGAGCCAAGTGGCGTAACTAACGGCCTCGGCCCACAGGTACTTTGGCATATCTCTGCCTAGGAGCATTGCTCTCGCATGCTCGACGAGTGTCCGGTTGAGTCGTTCGGCGACACCATTCTGTTGGGGTGAGTCGTGCACTGTTAGCTGCCGCTCTATACCTTGCTGACGCAAGTATTGATCGAACTCGGCGCTCAGATACTCTCCTCCTCTGTCCGAACGGATTTTGCGCACGCGCACACCTGGTGATTGACGGGCCACCCATGCCTCATAGGACTTGAACGCGGTAAGTGCGTCACTCTTTTGTTTGAGGAACTCGAGTCGCGTCTGCCGGCTAAAGTCGTCCGTGAAACTGACATAATATTTACAGCCTCCCAAACTCGTCGTCTGCGCCGGTCCCCAGAGGTCCGTATGGACTAGTTCTCCGTATGTAAGTGCGCGCATCTTCGTTTCTCTTGGGAAGGACTGCTGAGCTGACTTAGCTTTCACGCAGACTTCACAGAACTGGATGGCGGGCGCCGGATCTATGTCTATGCCCAGGATTAGGCCCTTCTTGACTGCGTCAAGAAGGGCCGCATGTGATACGTGCCCTAGGGCACGATGGACATCATTGATGGTAAGCTTTGTCCTGGCGACGTTGGCACGATGCTTACGGTCGGACGTTACAGCGTAAAGTCCCTGGACTTGGGGTATTTCTGCGATCGTCCTTCGTTCGGGGGGAGCAGACAGTATCCTGCACATTCCTCCTTCGAACAGCACGGCCAAACCGGCGGAGGCGATCTTATTGGTGGAGATAAGGGTAAATGCCATGGAGGGGGCATATAGGACGTCTTTTAGCGTCACGGTCGTTCGTTTCGAGCCCAACGGTAAGTCCATCCTCACGTCTCCTCGTCCTGTCGCATTGACAGTAGCTCCATTCGCAGTGTATATCTTCTGCGGGGCGATCTCAACGAAGGATACAAATTTTGCCCTATCCGGGCAGAAATGAGAGGTCGCGCCGGAGTCTACTATTGCTCCTCGGCGCTCTGGAGGTACGTCCATCGATTTTGCTATGACTGCGAGGTCTGACGTAGCGAAAGCGTAGTTGTCCTTTGGCTCCGGCTCTTTGGCTACATTGGCACTTTGTTTTTGGGTGCGTCCTCCTTGTCTCTGCCGTTGATTCGGCCCCTGACCTTCTTTTCCTCCACCTTTTCGCCAACAGTCACTCTTCCAGTGGCCCTTACGATCGCAGTTCGTACAGACTGCGTCGGGGTTGGATTTTGGAGCCGAGCTCTGCGAGCTTGTGCTCCTCCCTGCATTTGTTCTCGCGGAGAGCGCACTGTTGGTCCCGCGTTTGTTGGGACGTCGTTCGGTGAGTAACCGGTGCTCGTATTCCTCTGTGATGATGGTGATGAGTTCGTAGGGCGAGAGGGGAGTTTTCGTTATCTTGGCCGCTGCGTTCATCGACGACAGTAGCGGCCGGTAGGATTCAGGTAAGGACCCTAGGATGATGGCATGAAAGTCCGTATCAATGACGGCTACCCCCATTCCAGCTAACGACTCCCTCAGGCGCAAAAGCTCTGAAAAATGAGCCTTGACGTCACCACCTTCTTCGCACCTCGTCTCCTGGAGCCTCCGTCTCAGATCTATCTGGACGAGTTCGGTTTTGCCTTCATGTATGTGGCATATTTCCTTCCAGATTTCGGACGCGGATGCTAACTTTTGGACACGTAACAGCAGCCGATCTGTGATCGTGCAAAATATTTGCTGTTTTACGAGTGAGTTCTTTTGTTGATACTCATCGGTCTTTGCGTCGAGCTCATCGATTTCTTTCTGCGTAGGTGTTGTACCATCCGGCTTCGTAACGGCCCCCGTAGAGCTCTTTACGAAAGGCGTAGGCTCTTTAGCTCGTCCATCGGTATATCTCGTAAGTCCTCGTGCACCTATAGCCGTTAACGTCCTTTCCTTGTAGGTTATC